ACCACTAACTAATTGCACGGATAACAGCACCTCGGAAATGGCTCAAATCAGCAAATTTTCTACACACTTCCCCTTTAGGAAAGACTAAAAATCACATCTACTCCTTACTGCAACATTTGCCTAGAGGCTGATTGGATGAATCTGCTATAGGCTGTCCAGCTATCAATAAGAGATGGAAAAGGGCACCCAATGACTGACTGGCTAAGGGTACATGGGTGTTTAAGTCCGGCTATACTTATGTATATTTGTTTAGTAATCATAATAATAGATTGGCGCTTACACATACATATTTTAGTGTTTGGCCGAGCTTCTTCTCCGATTTGTGGCGTGCGCCTTGATGTTGCCACACAAAGGGGAGGAACCTACAGTTTTACGCCAACTCCGAACGGCGATTGTATTTTTTTTAGAAGCTTTATCATGACAGAAATACATTCGGAGGTTTGCCATTGCCTGCATTTTTTTTCATTTTTAGGTGTCGGAAACTAGGCCTACGGAATGGTAGCGCGCACTGCTAACCACTACACCACAGCGGTCGCTCAAAATAAACACTCTTATTCTAAATTTCCTCTTCTCGCTAAATATTAAAAATATTTGAGAAGAATTTGCTGCACCTTTTTTATATACCAACCAGCCCTGCTCGCGCTAAAACTTAGATATGTACATACCTACATACCTACAGCGTTTTGTGATGTGTTAATGCAAATCATTTTCTTTCATTAGCCATGTTTTTCTGCACCATTTAATTAACCAGTCTGAGCTCAACTCATTCCCGGCCCATATAACTGTGACAACTATAATAAAATCATCAAACTGTAGACAACGTCCGCTGATCTACAACAAAAAAGATCTAATACCCACTTATGTATATGTATGTATGTACGTGCCTATGTACATGTAAATATGTGCATACATATACGCCGATATTTACATATATGTAACCCTATAAGCTGCACTGGATCACCGGCGGCAACATCCAACTCACGAACTAAATATTTAATTCAGCAACAAATTCATTTGTAACACTTTGGCTACCAGACACTGCCTATCGTCAATCCGTGTGCTGCGTGTGTGTCAGTCAGTGCACCAGAAATGCACCCAACATTACTACGTAAGTTAAGTCATAGCCGTAGTTGTGGTAGCAGTAGTCACTTTGCATCGCATCGCATCTCATCACATCGCAAAGTCGCTACGTCGCACGTCACATCATCAAAATTGCCAACATGCCAGAGATTACCAACTGTCAGTCGAATGTCATGCTTGTGGAACATACGTCATCCAAAGTGTTGAACTAATTTAACAGCTGTTGAAAAAACAAAAACAACACGCTAAGTAGCAACAAAACACTTGTTGTTGTTCATAGCTGATACACAAGTATATATGCGCAAGTGTTGCTTTCGTTGGCGCATTTTTTGAGCGAACAAGCAAAATGTCTCTATATCATATAAAAAAAAATAAATAAATGCAGTCCCATCTACATCCATACATATGTGCACGTGTGTGAGTATGTTTGCATGTTGGAAAAACTTCAAAAACAGTGGCGCAATTAAGGCCGGTCCACATAGAACTTTCGCGTTGGCTTTGGCGTTGGCGTTGGTTTGACAGAACGCACGTTAAAAGTATGCTTGCTACAATGAACGCTTTGACATCTATTGTTTTCATTGTCATCACCAAAGCGAAAATTTTGCAGTGAAAATATAATTTAAAGTGTGTTTGTTTTTTAAAGCTATCGCAATTAAAATGTTGTCTAAAGAAGCGGTTGAAGTCATTTTAATTGCACTAATGATGAAGAAGACTCGCGAATGTTTGCGAAAAATAAATTCCCGCCGGGAGTCTTGGGTGAGACCACTTTACTTAAGTCGGGATATCAATGGACTATTTGCATCAAGTTTTGAAGAAATGTATAATAATGACACTGAGCAGTTAAAAAAAAACGGTTAGAATGAGCAGAACGATGTTTGACCATCTCCTCGGACTTGTAGGAGAGCGTCTTACTAAGCATTCCAATAGGCCATCAATACCTGCCGCATTAAGACTCTTTTTAACTTTGAAGTAAGGAAATTAAAGACATTAACCTATAATCTTTTGACAAAATAGAAATGAACTTGGTATATTTATAGTTATTTAGCACATGGAGGTAGTCAGCACATGCTCGCCATATCATATAAAATGGGACGCTCCACGGCAAATAAAATCGTTTTGGAAACATGTGAGGTTCTTTGGGATGAACTGGGTGGCATATACTTGTCTATACCAAACCGACATGAATGGAAACGTATTGCAAACGATTTCAATTCGATTTGGAACTTTCCCAATTGTGTAGGTGCTATTGACGGAAAGCACATAATATTAAAGTGCCCTCCTAGCTCGGGATCCTTATTTTACAACTACAAGGGAACATACTCCATCGTACTTTTGGCATGTTGCGATGCTAATTACACGTTTACCTGCATCGATATTGGTGCATATGGCTCTCAAAGTGATGGTGGTGTATTGTGCAATTCCAGCTTTGGGAGAAGACTTTTCAACAACCAATTAGACCTTCCCGAGGATGATATTCTGCCACACTCCACCCTTAGATTTCCTCATTTTTTTGTTGGAGATGCAGCATTTCCCTTAAAAAGCTATATTATGCGACCATATCCAGGTTTGCATATACTTTACCTATTGAAATTTTATTCGTTTTTCTAAACATACATATACGCTTTTTAGGAATACGTTTGTCGCCTGACCGCGAACTTTTCAATAAGCGTCTTTCAAGAGCTCGGCGCGTTATAGAAAACGCGTTTGGAATTATGACAGCTCGCTGGAGAATTCTTCTGTCCCCATTGCAAATGCATCCAACGAGTGCCGAGAGCATTGTCAAAGCAACAGTGCTATTACATAACTTTTTAAAAATGCACGATGGCACTTATTGCCCACCAGAATTTGTCGACCAATACCAAGGAGACAATATTGTCGGTGGTTTATGGCGACAGGAAATTACAACGCCCCTTCGAGGAACTGGTCGATTAATGGCGAACAATGCCGCCAGAAGTGCTTTCAATTTGAGGGATCAGTTAAAAGACTACATAGCCGCGCACCCTATTAATTAAATAATAATATTCTCTTTCATCAATTTGTTCTTAAACTATACTTTTAGATGTACCTATTTTTTCATAAATTCATTCTTTATTAATTAGTATTGGTTGCTATCCCAGAATCCATCGTAGTCTGATTTTTCGTGAAATCTACGAAAATGCGATCACTGGATCCGAATTAAAGCGAAGGAGTGAATTAAAAGTATATGCTACGTTCGTAGCTAATCGAATTCAAGGATAGCATTTTCGTAGATTCCACGAAAAATCGGACTACGACGGATTCTGTGATAGCCATGATTAGCACATCATTTTTGTTTTGCTTTTTAAGCACATACAAAAACGATACAACAAGATACAGCCCGCGACAAAACGGTAGCACATCAAAATTTTGATCAGTTTTGACTATATATCTTTTCTTTCTTCATTATTTTTCTATAAAATTATAGCTCATTAGCTAACAAAAATCTTAAAAATCCAAATTTCACAAACTTTTCATACTAATTTCAATCATATTTATTAGAATTTCTAATCATTTTTAGTATGCTGTTTTATAACATATACAATTTTACAAATTTTGAAATTTAGATTTATATGGCTTTTGCTGGATAAAGAACTATAATTTAATAAAAAATAAATGAATGTTAAAGACAAAAGAAAAGTAGTAAAAACTGGTCAAAATATTGATGTGCTATCTTTTGTCGCGGGCTGTAGTAAACATTAATTTTTAAATTTTTAATATGTACCACTATTTTAATTCCGAAATTGGTTTTTAAATTAATCATACTCACTGTAAACACCATACATTTTAAATAAAATATTAGTATTATATTGTACATACGTGTGTATGTATAAACATTAACTTTTTATTTTATAATTACAAGGCACAACAAAAAACACCTAAATATAAATTATGAGGATTCAGTGCTCTATTTAAAAACATAAATTATGAGGATTCAGTGCTCTATTTAAAAACATAAATTAAGAGGATTCAATGCTCTATTTAAAAACATAAATTAAGAGGTTTGAATCCCTTATTTAAAAAAGACTATTTCACTAAGTTGTACACCTGTGTTCACAAATATTGGAGTAGAATTCAAAATGAAATTTTGTGCAACCTAAGAATATTTATTTTTAATAATTTTCATTCAAATTCTAGTTTATAGTAGATTCGAAACTTGGATTTAAACGTATTCGGTTATAAATAAAAATATGATTTAAATGAAAATTATTAAAAATAAATATTCTTAGGTTGCACACAATTTCATTTTGAATTCTACTCCAATATTTGTGAACACAGGTGTAAATAAGTTACGATTACACAGGTACAAAAACAATTTCACAAAGTATTTTTTTGAACACAGGTGCAAATAAGTGTAAGGTACAAAAACAATTTCAGAAAGTTATCAATTACGGATTCGCAAACAGCACAATAGTAACAATTAACTGCAACCCGAAAGCTTTAATAATAGCTAAAAAAATTCAGTTTTCTAAGGTTCTAGAAAGCTATTTATTAAAGCACCGGCTCACAAAAAAAAAATTAAACACAATTGTAATTGAATACGTAGTTTAATATTTCCATTTTCAATGTATCTTGTATCTGTTCTGAATGCTTTAATAAGTAACTATCCAGAACCTTATAGAACTCGTAATTGCGGCTTTTATCAAAGCTTTCGGATTCAGATTGCCTTTCTAGGAATTTATTCACTACATCACATAGTGACCCAAATCTCTCATTTGCCTTGTCTTCCATTCGGGCCCGTTTTTTTTTATGGAGCTAGCGTCAATAGAGGCTCTTGGAGAACTAATTTCTTCGCAATTCTCCACCTCTGAGTCCTGTGTGTTGCTGTTAATTGTATCCCCATCCGTTTGGGAGAAATCCAGGCTCGAAAATGTTCTGCAAGTAAACAAGAAAAATGTTATTAATACATATTATATATTTATGTCATCGAAAAACTAAACTGGCAACCAAAAGAGCGTGGTGTTTTTTTTT